GTGCTTTAACCCGCTGCGCCACCAGGGAGGGCCTGTATTGTTTTTTTGTGTGTGTATTTGATGACTCTGCTAAGCTTATCCTATAAACTTCGGGAGGGCAGATATGGATCTTTTCATGTCTATATATCCCCAGTCTCTAACGCATTGCTAATATATTAGGTGAATATATGTTAATTGTCAGATGGGATGGACTAATTTACTTTAAATACTTTATAATAAATTTCCATTCTTGGAATTCAGTGTCTTTGTGTTTTAGTAATAATAGTTAACAGGTTTTTTTGTAGTTCTACATAGAATGTTAAATCTTCTTCATATCTGGCTTCTTCTGGTAGACTAACACTAACTCATGTTTTCTTTCTAGATAAGGCTCTAAAAGAAATTGTCGAGCGTGTTTTCCAGTCAAACTACTTTGACAGCACCCACAACCACCAGAATGGGTTATGTGAGGAAGAAGAGGCGGCCTCTGCACCTACAGTTGAAGATCATGTAGCTGAAGCTGGTGAGTACTGAGGTGGATAGGAGCTGATGTTTAGGGTCCTGGTTTTGTTTTCCTTTGCCATAAATTCAAGCTAACCCTTTAGTTATATATGTACTCTCAGATTTTTTTTTTTTAAAGATGGTGGTGAAAGGCTTCACCAGAGACAGTGGGGAGCAGAACAGGTAGATTGACGAAGTACACTGCCAAGGGGAGCAGTGGGTGGGTCAGGAGAGGTCTGCCATGCCATGTGGGTCACCTCCAGGGCGGAGATCGAACTCATGCTGAGAAGCGGCTTTAGCTTCTTAGTGTTGGGCTTTTACTCGCTGCGCCACCAGGGAGGGCCTTTTTTTTTTTTAGTTTTATTTGTTTATTTATACAGAACTGGGGTACAGGCCAGAGGTGTAGGGGCGGTGAAGGATTCACCAGAGATAGAGTAGGGAGCAGAATAGGAAGAAAGGAAGATCAATGACGGACACTGCTGATGGGAGTTGCGGGTGGGGTCAGGAGAAGTCTGCCTCCTCCTGTGGGTCACCTCTGGGGCCTGGATTGAACTCTTGTAGTGCTGTGCTCTCACCCTTTGCGCCACCTGTATGCTCAGATTTTTAAAGAAATTGAAACATGACAAAATACTAAGCATTAAGCACATTAAAAGAAATTCCTAGATATTACTGTCAGTCATTTGTCTTCTGGTCCTTGGTCAGTGTTACAAATTGACACTTCTTTTGTTATAGTTTTTGGTAGGCTGGAGTCTGGATAAGAGGCAAATGTTGTAAGGCTTTTCAAATAAGCTTTTAGCGAACATGCCCAAACTGATTGCTGTTTACCATGCCAGTGTATGAGGTGAATAATACATATATATTTTAATGATGGGGAGATTATAACTCCATAATTTTGAACTATAAATTCCTTGATGATGAGAGCTTTTATAATGAACTCAAAGCATGATAGTGGTTAAACATTTAACTATGAGTACTAGTATATAAGTTGATGAGTATATAAGTATGTAAGTATATAAGTATTCTGAGTATAAATGCATATTGTTGGAGAATAAATTTTGTGATGTTTAAACAAATGGACTCTAGAGTTGTAGTGCCTAGATTACAATCTTGGCTTCAGCTCTTAGAATTAATGTTTGAAGTATGTGTAGAGAGAGAGCCTGACACAGTAAGCACTTACGTTGTTAGCTGTTAGATTGAAACTCGATGGGAAGATTGGATATTGGAGAATTTTGTGGTTAGTAATAAACATAAGGTGGTAGGTTCCCCCCCTCCACTTTTATGGCTTTTATGGAATAAAGACTTTAATCTATATGCTGCTGTATATTATTACTTCTAAGGACCGATGTTTTAATTTATTGAATTGTCGTAAAAGTCATGTGGTTTTGCTTAGAAAAGAGAAAAAATATATCAGGACTTTTCTGACAATCCAATAGCTCTTTATTGCCAATGTACTTGTCCAGAACTTTAATTTTTTTTTGGAATATATGGTAAAGGAAACTTTTAAACTAATTCATACATAAATTCGAACTGTGATGGTGAACTCTATTCATTTGGAGTTTAATGAAATAATGACTTTATGATTTCTTAAACTCTCTTGTATCACTTTTTAACCTTTAGAACCTGAGCCAGCAGAAGAATATGCTGAACAAAGTGAAGTTGAATCCACAGAGGTATTTTTTTTTTTTAAGACTCTTTTTCCCTTCTTGACTTAGAAACAGAGGTCTCATATGTTTGCTTTGCTTTACAGTATGTAAATAGACAGTTTATGGCAGAAACACAATTCAGCAGTGGTGAAAAGGAGCAGGTGGATGAATGGACAGTTGAAACAGTCGAGGTAAGAGTTCTCTGTTGCAGAGTTAATGTCTTTTAGCAGTTTTTAATCTAAGAATTAAGTAAGACTGTTTAATGTCTAGAAAATATTTTGTTAATCCTTGTGAGCACTGAATAAACTCATTGCTTTGCTGATACAATTACAAAGAATACACAAAAATGTCAGTATAATTTAGGATTAATCATAATATTAAAAGTATTTGTCTATGTTAATAATCAGGTTGCTCTATAAAGGTATGGACTATCATAGATAGTCTTCAGGAAGACCCACCTTCAACTGGGGTGTATCAGAGTCATCTTGGACTATTTCACTCCCCTACTGCTGTTTTGATATGAGGCTCTGGACTTCAGTTAGTAGTGTTTATTGATTTATCATTCAACGTCCATTACTATTTTTCAGGTATTCATCTCTAGTTTAGGGACCTTTTTGTTATTTATCTTTGACTGCCTCAGGCCATCTGGTTAAATTAATTACTGGAAAAATTAGTTTTGATTAAATTACTTGAACTTTGGTGTAGTGCCTCATTACCTATAAGGTAAAATCAAAAGGCTTTTCCAAAATTGGTCTTAGTGTTCTTTTCCATTTTATTGTAGATTTTTTTTTTGGTAGGTATTTTCAGAAGTACAGAAAAATAACTTTGAGCTGTGAATAGCATGTCTTTTCTATTAATGTTACTCTGTTAGGACTATTTTCTAAAGGTATCATTATACCAGTACCCACCCTTCACCTTTGCTAAAGTGCCAATATGTGTTATTGCTACATTGAGTAAAGAATTCCCCCCCCTTAACCTAAAAAGTTGCGTAGTAAGATGAAACCCTAGTAAGATAGTGTGTATCTGCTAAATTGTATGTTCAGAAATTTTGGAGGAGGTTTAAAAGTAAATAGTTAAAAAGATCTTTTAGAATGGTGATTTATATGATGGGGTGCAAATCGGTGGGTTCTTGACTAAACAGATTGGGTCCATGGGCATTGTTTTTAGGGGGTCAGTACTGAACTGTACTTAACATTGTTCTTTAATACCTAGTTAGGTGGACCTTTCTGAATGCTATCCAGGTAGCATTCTAGGATCTTATAGTGCAACCTGATAGTAGAATAGCAGATCGTTATACTTTATTATAACTTCATTGGTCTTCATTATAAATTAAAGCAATCATTTTGTCAATATTGGTTATAGTGGAAATACAGTTATGACTTGCCCAGACTCAAGGCAAATAGAAGAATATAAATTTGATGGAGTAAAGCATAGAATTATTAAAAACAATCATTAGTAATAGTTATTAGAGCTAGGAAAAGCTGAGTTTTGGCTTTTGTAGAAGTTTAGGTGAGGTGGTAGTGTCTTGATCCTGTGATACTGGCAGACAGAATGTTAGAAAGTAAAGGTAGTCTTGAAAGAGTTTTTAAGGTGAATCTGAAATTGTGAAATTGAGACTACTGTAAAAGAAAAGCCTTAGAACATTAAATATGACAGAATTATGGTCAGCTTGAATAAATATATTAAAGCCTACTTTTGTGTTTACAATATAGATGGCATGTAATTTGGGGGCCCACAGTCATGATGGTAATAAATAGAACTCTTTCATGCTGCCCCTGCTTGCTCTGCCTTTCAGGTGGTAAATTCACTCCAGCAGCAACCTCAGGCTGCATCTCCTTCTGTACCAGAACCCCACTCTTTGACTCCAGTGGCTCAGGCAGATCCCCTTGTTCGAAGGCAGCGAGTACAGGACCTTATGGCACAGATGCAGGGACCCTATAATTTTATACAGGTAGGTGAAATTTAAACATTGTATCAGAAGGTTTACAGGTTTATATTATTTAAGCCAATTCTATTATATCTTAACTTTAGGATTCAATGCTGGATTTTGAAAATCAGACACTTGATCCTGCCATTGTATCTGCACAGCCTATGAATCCAACACAAAATATGGACATGCCCCAGCTGGTTTGCCCTCCAGGTTAGTAGTGGTATATATAGATATGAGAGATGATAGTGTAGGGCCAGTGATACAGCTTTCATAAGTTTGTGAAAATTAATTTTGTTTTTCTGTTTAATGTTTAACTTTGAAATCTTGTATCTTTTAATTTGATAAGAAACATTTTTTCCTATAATATGAACAAAAACCATAGTATCATAGTTTTTTTCTTTGTTTATTGTTGGCTTATAAATTATGGAAAGGTACTTGGCAAATGAGTTAAGTGAGTTTTCACAAACTGAACATAAGAGCACCCAGAAGTTACTTGTGTCAGAAGCCTGCTGTGTTCCCTCTAAGTTTTCCGGTACCGATCACCATCTTTTCCAGTCCTGTGTTAACTACTTTCTGGCAAGACCAATTTTGCCTGTTTCTGTATCTGTATAAATGAAGTTTTGCTTAACATCTTAAATTTCAAAATTAGTCTAGGGGTAGTAAAATAAGAGTTGTCTTTTTCTGTAGAATGTTTATAGCTTTTGAGAATTTTGAAAATTTTATTACTTAAATGAAGGAAAGGGAATACTTAAAAGAGGAAAGGAGAGAAGTATTCAAGAAGATATTTGAAGTTTTAAGCTCATTTAAAGCTCATTTAAGCTCATTTTAAGCTTAAACCATTATCTGAAGTAGCACTAATACAACAGTTTTTTGTATTGGATTAGGTATATCATCTTTCCAGGACCACTGTTAATTTTGAGTCTTAGTATTTTCCTAGAATATGTCAGCATTAAGGGCACAAAAGTGGAACTTCTGAAGTAGCATATTTAATGTTATATACTCCTAAATGTCATAAAAGGAGTTGATCAGAAAAAGCCTGTTTACTGACACTGCTAATTTGCTAGGGTAGTTAGGATTTCTTCAAGTGAAGGGAGCTCTGATAGTGCTCACATCTCTGACCAAGAATGAGAAAACAGAAGGATTCAGCCTTCTGGGAAGGAATTAGTTGTTAGTGTTTACTTCTAAAGAAGAAGAAAATACATAGTTTTCCAAGCTAATAAATTATGCTAAAGTAGGTACTCAGGTACGGCTGAGTGCATTAGATTCTCCAGTGAAAGTAAATGATTTTTAAATGACTAACCAAAGACCTTATATTTTTGATTGTTTACCCATAGTTGGGGAGGGAAATAGAAAGATGATGGAAATTGGCAGTAGTTTGCATACCAACGGGTATATACAGGCTACTTTAAAGGTGTATTTATATTTTTATTAATCTAAGCCTTGAGTAAGAATAGTGCTTCTTTATAGTTAGTGACTTAATAGGCTTTTTTGATAGCACTTTGTAACAACTTACTTTGTCTATGCAAAGTACAAACTTGAGAACAACTGTAAGGGTTGACAGTCATTAGCAGAAAAATCAGGATTCTTGAAAGCTAAATGTCTACCTCTACTTGATAATTTTACTTCATGGTCACTGAAAAGTTTAGAATTTGACTGTAGAAATGTGGCTTTAATATCTGAGTAGATATCATTTGAAAGAAATTTTGATTTGTGATAATAATATCTTAATGATCAATTTTGCAGTTCATTCTGAGTCTAGACTTGCTCAACCTAGTCAAGTTCCAGTACAACCAGAAGCTACACAGGTAAGAGTGATATACATAATTTTTTTCAGGTTAAGTTTTACTTAGTTCTTGGGTCTATCTGTTACTTTAGGAATTTGATCACTGTCCCAGTTTCATATGGCTAGTGACAGCTTTTATGTTCATGTTTACATTTTCTTGGATGATGTAAATTTTTTAGTAATTCTTTTGTTTATAATAGTTTATTATAATGAAGATGCTTTTTAAGGTTTGAACTGAGAAGATCTAAGTTTGTAATTATAATATACTGCCATTTTAGACATACTTTGAGGGACTTCATAGTTGGACAAAGGTTTACTTAACTTTGAACTTTAACTATATATATCTTTTGCATTTGCTAGGTATTATAGTCTCTTTAACAGGTACAGCTATTTTTCACTCTTATTTGTATGAGAATTCATTTATCACAGAAAGAGATTTTGGTTTCTTCTGTGTAGGTTCCTTTGGTTTCATCTACAAGTGAGGGGTATACTGCATCTCAACCCTTGTACCAGCCTTCTCATGCTACAGAGCAACGACCACAGAAGGAACCGATTGATCAGATTCAGGCAAGTTGTGATATCAGATCATATAAACATTTTTAAAAAAGATTTATTTTTATTTATGCATACGAGAACCGGGGTGTAGGCCACGGTAGGGTGGGGGAATGGGGGTGAGGGGATTTACCAGAGACAGAGTGTTGAGCAGAACAGGCAGATTTACTGAAGTACACTATTGAGGGGAGCAGCGGGTGAGATGGCTGCTCCTTGGCCAGGGATTGAACTCATGCCACAGTGGCTGGTGATAGCTTGATAGCACTGAGACTTTAACCCCTGCACCACTGGGGAAGCCCCAGGCCATGGTGAGCCACATGTGAATAGGGCAGAAATAAATTTCTGTTAACATGCTGATTCTTGGATCTAATGCATGCAGGACAGTATTTTGCTTTCAGGAAACAGTTGAGTTTGTTCATTCATAAATACAGAGTGAGCTAAGTTTAGTTTTCTGCTAAAGTACATCTTTTTTACTTTGTGTTTAGGCAACAATCTCTTTAAATGCAGACCAGACTACAGCATCATCATCCCTTCCTGCTGCTTCTCAGCCTCAGGTATTCCAGGCTGGGACAAGCAAACCTTTACATAGCAGTGGAATCAATGTAAATGCAGCTCCATTCCAATCCATGCAAACGGTAAGCAAATTAATTCAACTATGTGCTGTTATGTCAGAATTTTAGTAAGAATTCTTCATCTGTGGTGGAAATCTGCATCTAACCTAACTGTAAGGAATATTATAAAGATTTTATTATGCATACAAGAATAGGGGTACAGGCCAGAGGCGCGAGGGGTGAAAGGACTCACCAGAGGCGGAGTGGCGAGCAGGATAGGCAGATTGACTGATATAATACTGCTGAGGGGAGCAGTGGGTGAGACAGAATAGGTTAGCTATGCCATGTGGTTTGCCTCCCTGTCCAGGGATTATGCTGCAGTAGCTCTGGATAGCTTCATAGTGCCGAGACTTGACCCCTTGTGTCACCAAGGAGGCACTGCAGGGTGTATTTAATTGAATGTAAACTGACCTCCCTCTCAGAGATAAATCTGGGTTTTAGGCAAGGTGTCCTCATCTTGTTTTGTAGTTTTAACCTTTTTTGACTAGATTAATACAATTTTACAACATCTCTATAGAAATCATTACCTACGTTTACCAGTGTTTACATTTGCCATATTTATGTAGTTTTCTTTTACTAAGGTATCTCAAAGTAAATTTTAGACATTTCATTTCTCTGGTTTTCCGTAAGCACGTTTAAATTGTAAAGTTTTTGGGAAATGATAAAATATAATAATCAATGGCATATAACTAAATCAGTGCTCAGAGGAATGTGCATAGAGTTAAACACTAAAAATAATTAAGTTTTGATTAAATTACCAATAAATATTCAAACTTTATACAATTTCTATGATATTCTAGGTTTGTATCTTTTTTTTTTAAAGATTTTATTTATTTATTCATACAGAACTGGGGTACAGGCCAGAGATGCGGAGGGTGAGAGGGTTCACCAGAGACAGAGTAGGAAGCAGAACAGGCAGATCAACAAAGTACACTGCTGAGGGGAGCAGCGGGCAGGTCAGGAGAGGTCTGCCGTGCCACATGGTCGGTCACCTCTGGGGCAGGCGGGGATCGAACTCATGCGGAAGTGGCTTTAGCTTCTTAGTGCTGTGCTTTAACCTGCTGCGCCACCAGGGAGGGCCTGGGTTTGTATCTTTTACAAAGATTTTTTTATAGCATTTCTGAGACTGCTAATTGTGTGTCTTAGATTTAATCCCACTTAAATCCTTGTTTAAATGTTAGCTGATACACAACTTTTTCTAATATTAAACTTACATTAATTGATGGTGTGTGTGTGTATGTGTGTTTGTGTGTTTATGGTATTGGAGTGTTAGAGACTTCTGTAATATTTGAGGTAAAATCATCACTGAGATCTACCATATCAAAATTAGGGAAATTATTAGCACAAAGGGATGAACTAATCATTTGTTTACTTTTAGGTGTTCAATATGAATGCACCAGTTCCTCCTGTTAATGAACCAGAAACTTTAAAACAGCAAAATCAGTACCAAGCTAGTTATAACCAGAGCTTTTCCAGTCAACCTCACCAAGTAGAACAAACAGAACTTCAGCAAGAACAGCTTCAAACAGGTAGAAAAACTAGTGTCACTTTCTTAAACAGCTTATTTTCTGACGTAGTTACGAGTATCACAGTAGTTTAAACTTCAGAGTGGTAGTGCTTAAGGGTTTTTGTTTTAATAATAGTATCTAAAATTTTTTCTTGGCTGAACCTTAATTAAATCAAGTCCATTTTTGTTGTATGTGAATTATGTGCAATTTTTGGAGATTTTATGCTCTCTTTCCTTTCATTAATGAACTTTCATAATCTCTCCATATTACTATGATTTTAGTGGGATGAAACTTGTTACTTGATTCATGATCACTTTTCATTGTGAATAGAATGAAGATGATACCTGGCAGTAAGTCTGCTATACAAAAATAGGAAGCAGTAAGAAAATTGGCTTGGTGTCACTGTGCTAATTAATTAGTAATATTTGTGCAAAAAATCTCATGATGGTTGTATTTGGTGGATTGTGTTGACAAGAAATACTTTTTTATAGGTCTTTTGTTATTTAATTCTAGGGGTTTAATGGGAATTATCAGTAGGGAGGGTTGAAACAACCATAATGTGACAGAAATTTGTCAGTCATGCTACAGCTTTTGAATTATTAACCTGTACTTAAACTTTAATTTCATAGCCATTTAAGATAGATGTGGAGCAGATGTGTTTTGGGTCTTTAGATATTGTGCTGGCATGCTTGCTGTTTTTCAGATGGTCTGATCAAATTAAAAGTAGTTATATATTGATCATTTTAGTTGGTTAATTTTGCCCTTCGTGCTAGTGGATTTCAGACTTGTTCCAGACAGCTAGACTTGACTATGATACATTTCAGCTAGATAATGTTTAGCTTACCATTTCAAAGTATGCATTACCCACAAAAATTAACTACATAAGATTTACTGATACTTTCAATTAAAAAAATGAACAGCCTGTTATTTTTCCCTTTTAAACACTTATGCACTCACTCGAGGCAGCCATTTTCTTACCTGGACTATTGCAGTTGTGTCCCTTGCCTTTGTTTTTTCAGTTCTCTTTACTTATGTAGTAGTCAGGGAGTGATCACTTTAATGTGTAAATCAGATGTTTCTCTGTGCAAAACCATCTGGAGACTACTCATTACATTTAGGGCAAAAAAAAGCCCGAAGTCCTTATCTTAGTTTACAAAAGCCAAGAAATCTGGCCTCTTCTTTGAACATGTGGTATTGTATTTTCTTTATGTACCCATGTTACACACTGGCCACACACATAGCAGGGTCTCTATTCTCTAGGAGCTTTATACTTTTATTTTCTAACCAAAACTTTTTTTCTGCTAATGTTTGCATAACCTGATTCTTCATTAGGTCTGTGCTCAGATGATCCTCTCACAGAGACTTCCCTTCATCTTGTTCAACTAGTGTACTCTGGTCCCTCATTTATCCTACTTTGTCTTTTTCCTCACCACTTAATATCTGACAAAATATGACTGCTGTTTGTATGTATATCTTAAGCATTTACTGTTTCCCATTAGAGAGTATAAGTTAGCAAGTGATAACATCCCTTAATATCTAGGACCCGGCCTGGCATGTTGAGGGCATTCTTGTATTTGTTGACTAGATCAGTGAGTCCTGTCATTCCAGAAGTTTTCATTTTAATGTCAGCTACTAGTGTCTAGTCAGAAATAGCATACAAAAAGGATCTGGCAAGACCTTTGGCATTTGTATTGGATTAGTGTTTATGTTTAACAAAAACTTAATCAGAATACCAGCATTTAAAAATAACGATCACATTTTAATTGTTTTTAATGAGTTATCTGTAGTGAGAATTGACCAGGATTAATTAGATTCTTCTGATTTAAAAGTGAATTGAAAATTCAGTTCTTTTGACTATTTTGTACATGCAGAGGACTGGCAATCTGTATGGAAAGACCACATTATAAATAGTGTACTTTTCCCATTACATAGTTCAGAAAAGAATCATGACTTCTCTTACTCTGCATTCTCTAGCTTCTCATTGCAAACTAGCGTTTTAGAAACTAAAGAATGTTATTTGGGGTCTCTTGAGATAAAAAAGGTCAGGTAAAGATTTTCTCTCTGCCTAAATATGGAAAGTTTGGGCTGACTTGTGGTTGCTGGTTGTTTTTGTTCCTGGAATGTGGGCTATCCGTCGATTCATTCATAATGTCCTCACCTCTCAAAGTACTGTGAACACCCTGTGTTTTTTTTTAAAATTTATTTATTTGTGCATA